TCTGGTGAGACTGGGGAAAGGAGGTTGGGGGAGAGAGGGTAGGAGAGGGGAGGGGGAAACTTGGGAGGAGGGAACTGGAAGGGGAAGCAAGGGGAAGAAGGGGGAGGGAAAACTCAGGGCTCAGGGGTGGGGGTCTCCCCGGGCCAACTGTCTCCCAGAACCGCAGATGCGGGGGCCTATGTGTCCCCAGGAGGATGGAGAGGGGATGGAGGATGAGGAGGCGATGGAGGGTGAGGAGGGCGTGGAGGGAGAAGCAGGAGGGGGAGAAGGAGTGGGAAGAGTGGTAGTTGGGGAGGCAGCAGGTGCTGGAGTGGCAGGAGGCAGCACGCTCTGCACCAGGGTCTGCAGGTGTTGGCAGATACCATGGTCTTCTTGCACCCAGTTCTGAAGGGTGCAGTGCAGGGCTCACAGTGTCCCCAGGTGCTGCTGTCGGTACCCCTTGACTGCACAGGTGGTCCTGCGGAGCCCTCGAGAGCAGGAGAATGTCCCAGGAGAGGTGGTGCGCCCTGCACACATAGCTGGTGTGGCTGTGGAGAAACAAGAGAAGTGGTCAGCTATCCCTGCGGACACAGTAGGTGAAGCCCAGCCCCCCTCTGCAAAGTGAGGATGACCATTTCCTGCACCATCAAAGCCGATGTGCTTGCACACAGGCCATGTTCAGAATGTCCTGCTATCCCCAGAAGTGGGAGCTGCCCCGGGACCACACCCATGCTCCTGCGCTGTGTATAGTGTGGCTGAGGTGGGAGGAGATGTCCCCTGCCCCTCTGTAGAATGGCCTTGTAGAGGGAGGGCATCCTGCTGTGTCCCACCCTGGGGTCAAGGGCATGTCATGTCTCTTCACACACGTGTGTGACTGGGACCACGTGACCAGGGGTGGCATGGCACATGCTCACACGTGCACATGTTGCTGTGTGATCCGTGGTCAGTAAGGCCCAGGTGCACGGTACCTGGTCTCCCTCCCCACCTCCCCAATAAGGGGACAGTGATGGCACTCACACGTTGTTGCCTCCCAGGATGACACTGGTGACGGGTCTGCTGGAACAGCTCGGGGGTCCTGGCTGCATGGCACGCTCCCTCTGGGTTCCTGGCGCTCCTCCTTCATGCCCTAGTCAGGGCCCTCTGCTCCAGGATTGATGACCCCCAGGGTGGCACAGACCAATGCAGTCCAGGACGTCAAAATAGAGGCAGGTGTCTTCC